TTAGTTTCTTCGAGAGATGTAAACTTTTTATTACTTGAAAGGCGAAACCCAAAACCAGTTAGCGAAGGATAAAAGGCGCAACTCTGGTGAAACCAAATCCTTTTACCAAAAGTGTAATCTAAAGTTGGAAGACGAAAGGTAAAAGCTAATGAAATCCTGATCAGAAATCAAATCCTGTATAATATGCTAATCAAAAAAAGATATATAACAATATTGTCATCTCTAAGAATAACGTATATTAGATTTCGGTTCTGGTTAAATATGCGACAAGATATTAATTACATATTTATTTTATTCTATTTTTTATTGGTTGTCAACTAGCTAATGTACCTGCATGTTGTGTAACCAAAATTTTTGGGGTGCGTCAAAATAAACAGTAAATCCAAAAATCTGCGTATACGAATCTCCAACAAAATCGTGATGCAACATTAAAAATTAAATATCAAACTTTAACCTTAATTATTTTGGCTTACAATTTTTTTATTTAAAAAATATATTTCTTCTCTACAAAATAAAAAAAAAAAGTTTAAAGTCTATTGCTAGTTGTCAAGATAATTAAGATATACAATAATGACTAAAATTTTACATGTTAGGATAGATTATTTGAATTATCTCTGCAACTAGTAATTAAATTTTAATATTTTTTTTATATTTTACAGAAAAAATATGCATCTATTAAATAAAAAAAAAATTATTTATTTTAGATTAATAATCATTGTGAAAATTGGTTTAAAAAATTGAACTAAAAATTTTTGTTGTTGTTAAATTTTTAGTTAACTACTAATTAAAATTATATGAAACTTATACAGTAGATAGAGAAAAACTTTGTCTATAAAATAGTAAAATATTATTAAAATTGAATTAATGGTTATTGAAATATTTACAAAAAATATAAACACTTACCAAATTTATCAAAACCCTAAAAGTAAAATTAAATAACTTGCTAATTATGCAAGTATATGATCTAAAAATGATATAACATAATCATCAAGAGATAAGGTTTTATATAATCAAGTCAAGGACATAAATTAATTAGTAAGTTTTTAAGTTATAAACCAAGACCTTAGGTATATAAAAACTTTTGTCACACCTCTATAGAAATAGGATAGAGCAAGAGACTCCAAGAACAAAAGAATAGCTGACAAAAATAGCATAACAAAATAGCCTTAGAGTCTATAATACTTCAACTTAAAGAATCTAGCAAGACTACTGCAGCAAACCAACAAGAAAAGAAAAAAAAAGCCAAAGAAGCAAAAGAAAAAATACAAGCTTGTCTAAAAAAAACAAGCTGTTGAAATTAAATCAAAGTTAGAAATAGATTAGAGCAAAAAACTTCAAAAACAAAGAAAAACTTGACAAAAGCAGCAAAATAAATCAGCACTAAGGACTCTGATAGCATACTTTAAAGTATCTGTTAAATTTGAATTTGCTATAGCAAACCAGAAAAAAGAAAAAAAAGTCAAAAAAGAAGAAAGAAAGAGAAAAGAAGAAGAAATTAAAAATAGGAAACAAAATATTGAAGGCATTACAGAAACAAAAACCTTAAACAAGATCCAAGAGGAATCAAGACTACAAATTAAATTTGCAACTCCAACTGAATAGCTAATTGAAGTAATATATCAAATAAGTATTAAAGACTCACAAACTAACAGGAAAACGTGAAAGAAAAAAAAAGAAGAGTTGCTTGTAGAATAAATATAATGTTTAAAGACCCAAAGAATCATCAACAATATTCTATCTCAAGATATATTGGTATGTAGATTATCGAGTACCAAAAATTGGAAAAAGAAGAAAAAAGACACATTATTAGAAATATTAGAAAAGATCTTTGTAGAAATTTTTGAAGACCAGAAAATCTTTATTGAAATACAAGAGAAGTTTTTGAGAAGAAAATCAAAACTCAGGAAGAAAAAGAAAAAGAAAAAGGTAAAAGAAAGAAAAGAGAAAGATCTTCACTCCAAAACATAAAGGAAATAGGCTTCAGACAGACTATACAAAATTTAATAACAGAAAGACCAAAAGAAGACCCACATATTTTGAAGAAAAGAAGGCCTATAAAAGAATATATCTAGAGAAGACTTATGAAGGAAGCTCTCAAGAAGTAGAAGAAGAATACAGAGCTATGAAATTGAGAAGACTCTTGAGAACTGGGTTTCATATAAGAAAAGATAAGTTAAAGTTCTTGATTAGCAAAGTTATATTAAATTGAAAGAAGAGAAAAAGAAAACACAAATATAAATAAAAAAACTCTGGCAATAACCCTTGGCTAAACGGTAAAATAAGATTGTTTAATTTTAGAAAACTAGATTTAGAATATTGTTATGAAAAGGAAGATAGTTTAGAAAAAAGAGTAAATTGCCAATTTAGTTTAATTAAAAATTCTTTTGTTCTGAAATTATCTTTTGATGATTTCTTTGGCTAGCTTGGTATAGCCCTCTGAGGCGAGCAATAGTCTTAACTAGTGAGGCAGACCACACTTGGGCATCTTTAAGGGAAGCTAAGTGATATCAGATCTGTAGCTTAAATAGTTTAGATATACTTGTATATTGCTTGGATCTAATAAAGATACTGGCAAGGCTGCCAATACATTAAAAAAAAAATATATTAATATTTTCTAATATTTCTGTAATAAAAAATATAAAGTATTGCTAAATATTATCGCAGATAATCATTATTGCTTATATGTTTGACTAATCAAATGGTAGAATCTTATATAACCAAAACAATAGAGAAACTAAGAAAAAAAGCCAAAAAATATTGATAACAAGTTATTTTACTATGACAATAAATCTTTGTACACTAATTAAAAGTTTTTAGCACAAAATTTTATATATAATTTTATCTTCTTTATTCTAATCCTGTCTAACTTTAACTCTAAATTTTGGTTCCTTAAATAAATATATAATAAAACAGTAATGATCACCTGTAGTGATCTTTAGCAAAATTCAAAAATATATAATATAATTGTAGCTTAAAAGATGAAAAATTTAAGAACTTTGTTTTTTTTTTGTTTTTTTTTATATATTAAAGTGACTAATTGGAGGTTTAGTATGGTTTATTAACTTCACAGATCAATTATCAAAATACCAAATAGGCACCTTTTGACTTTGTTATATCAATAAGAATACAATTGGTCATATATACAACTTTAGTTATTGCCAATTTAAAGGCTTTGCTATATTTATTTTTATCTATAGTTACTATATCTAAGATCCACTTGTAGATCTTTATTTAAACATTCTGATTGACTTAGTGCTATCAGATGCTTTTTTCAAAAGAATTTCTGTCACTAAAGTTCTTTAAACTACTTTATTCTCATAGTAAACCTACTAGAGCAGTCTATATTCTACATATATATCATCTAGATTTTTTAGCTCCAATCTGAGGACTGATATTTGTGGTCTTTATTACCACTACTATTATTTACTCTCTGCTCTTACAAGGTTCATTCTGATCCTGATATTTATTTTCAACTAGCCCTTATACCAATCTCTCCCTAACTACCAAACCAGTTAGCCTAAATAGACTGTTGTATCTAAGCTCTAAGTACTTTCTGGTTTTATTTCTCTTAGTTTCTAATTCCATAGTATAGAACCTTTTTCTCTAATACAACTCTAGTGGCCAGGTTGGTGGACCCTTCTTGCCTCAAAGTTATTTATCTGGTTCTTCAGTTTCCGGTTCTGGTTTTCTGTAGTATCATCAAAGATCTTCACTACTTCTAGCTTGGATCTTGCCAAATGGGTTTTAAATATTCTGGTTTCTTAGATTTAGATCGTCTTAAAGCTTCTATTTCAAGATAGTAATATCAAGATTACAGGTAATATACCTAACCAATTGTCAAATAAATATTATCAGAACACAAATCTATTTTTCAAAAAATGTTTTCAGTAAAAATCGAACTCTAGATTTACCACTTGGAGGTAACAACTTAACCACTACTCTATATCGCTACACTTTAATTTAAAAACTTTGTCTACTTCTTTAATAATATTAGTTTATAGTTAAAAATTTTATAGCTAATTCTAGTATATTGTCATAGTAAATTGCTATATATATTAGAAAAAATTTAAAATATTAAAAGAATAAAGTAATTATTAGATATACTTGTCTTGCTTATTTCTTAAATTATAATACAGACAAATTTGTTTATATTTATTTTTTTAGACTCTAATTTTTAATAAATTTTTAATTGCAGATTCGCATGTGACCGATAGATAGTATATAGTAAATTACGGCGCTATATTTATTAAGTAAAAAAATTTTATTTGAAATCTCTATTTCCTAAAAGAATCGAAATGACAAGCATACACATAACTCCAGGAAAACTTGTAGCAACTGGTACTATTGAACCAGAGCTTCACTATGGACCATATATGCGTGATTGGTGGGTTTTTTCTAAAGACAATCAAGAGCATATATCTTATTCTATTCCTATACGTTTGGGACTTGAGATTATAATATAACTCAATAAAATGCCTTTTATTATTCGTATAGTTCATTATATACATAGTTATTTACAACCGAGTTACATATGTGAAGGAAATGGAAAAAGTAGTGGTGTGGTTTCAAGTTCCTCAATGGCAATTACATCAGTTTACCAAGCCATCTTTGGCACTAAAACAAAATTTGCGAGTTTATCATATTTAGATTTAGAACAACCTGAAACATTTCAAAAATTATTAGAAAATGTTATTTTTTGTCCATTTATTATAAAAATAGAAAATTTATCAATTTATGTTGGTTCTCTTGGTAAAATTACATGTTCAAATAGTAATATAGTTGGTCATAATTATATGGCATCATTGTTTAATAAGTACAAAGCAAAACAGTCTGTTTTTTTTCAAACTGTTAATGATGACAATTCATATTCAATTATAATTTATCAGGATAGTCAAATCATCGCTGAATATAAAGATAGTTCTCCCAATGCCGTTTGGATTCAAACTGGGGTTCTAAAATCCTTCCCGGATGATACTTTATTCGCTATAAATCACCCAACGACTTTACAACAATTAGATCAAATATATAAAGCCAAATTTAATCATCAAACGTTAATACCAAATGAGTGTACATTTGTGGATTAGAATAATAAAACAATTATGGAGCATTTATTTGATTTACATTTAAAAAAAGCAGTTGGCAAGTCTGCTAAAGAATGGCATGAAATATTTCAAAGTTGGAACCAACAAAAAAGTAATATAATTGAATTATATACTCATCTCAGTAAAATATATGGTCCAAATCATGAATTTAGAGAACGTGAACTGAGGGCATGGTGTGCAATTTTTCATGCAACAGGATGTACAAATATTACCCTCTATGATAAAGAAATTTCTAAAGTAATTATAAATCAAAAAGAAAAAATTTCATATATTATTGTACGGCCATGTTGTTACTGCCATACCAAATTTTGATCATATTTGTACGGATCTTTTTTCTTTTTATTCTGTTTTAAAACTAATAATAATAAAATTAAAAATTTTTTACATATAAAAACTAAGAGAAAATCAAATTTTCGAATTTATATTATTCTATTATTACGTTATTTATTTAATATGATCAAATACGTATGGTAGTAACAACTGCCAGACAATAATAACGTTATTGTATGAGGGTAAAAAAATTGACACGATAGTATAGATATAGATCAGTGGATGAATCAAATATCTTTTAGGTGTTTTAGGGCCGCTATCGCGACCCTAAAATATCTGAAAAATATTTGATCCATCCACTGATCTATACCCGTACTACCGTACTGATATTTTTTTACCCTCATACAATAACTTATAAATATCAGTGATAGCAAATTTTTCGATAAAGTAATATTGGCTAGCTAATCGCTTTGGCCAGT